TCTGGGCGCGGCCCGGCTATCGGCTGGGGGGGAATGGAGCAGCTGCCAGCAGGGCCTAAAAAATCCCAATTTCAGGGCTTTGTGTTCCCGAAAATGTCTCGTTATTTGAGGTCTCTCAGTGCTGCGCACCAAGGGGCTACAGTGACACGGCCACCTGGTCTTGAGGCATGTGGAGACAGACAGAGATACACACTGAAAGTAGAACAAAAAACCAATGGTTATCCCAACATAGAGACCACTGGAGTTAGATAGTGCCCATCAAAGGTGAAAATACAGAGAGCATCTCAGCTGAAACAAATCAGCGTGTTTTTACCCCCTTAAAAGTTGTGGCGTTACTGGAGGTTTAGGCCAATCAAGTGGATGCTCTGAGAAACTGGTTGATAGGCTCCTTGACAAAAAAACAGAGTCACATTTCTAAAGAGCAAAGAGGAAAAGGTAAAATGAATATTGGGAGATATATGTAAGAAAAGAAAAAAAAAAGGTGTGAAGAGATTGGCAGAAGAGCTACTGATTAGTAAAACAAATGCTATAAAACAGTAGTCCAGATTGCATGAATATTAAAGACTTGGAAAAAATAGTTATGTTTTAGTTTCCAATTCTATTCTCTATTATTTTTAGCTGGCAAGGGACAAAATCACAGCAACCAACTGTGTCATAATTCGTCATGTATTGAAGCAGTGCGATCAGCACAAATAAAATATGCCACAGCTATTGCAAGGCTCCCACCTTTTTTTTCCAAAAGGCAAGTATCTTCCCATGTTGACATTTGCACATTTCAGAACACTCACATTGCAAACTGTTGAGATTAAATACTGTCATCACTCCTTCATTTTTTCCATGTGTCCTAATCCATACTACTGTCTCTGACCTTTTATTTAATGGAGAGCACTTTCTGTCTCTGACCTTTTATTTAATGGAGAGCACTTTCTGTCATCACTCACATGGCAACACGCCCCTGACTGGTATGAGCTGTAACTGCGCAGAACAAGGAGGTGGGATGCCAGATCCGAGGCTTGCTTTGCTTTTCAAAATGTGACACATATTCCCATGCTTTTAATTCCCCGTTTGAAGGTTTGTGCAGGATTGCAATGCTCTTCTGCAGTACTTACAGCCCAAACACCGGGGCATTTGTGGTCTGGAGAATACAGCTGATCTCCAGCAAAAAGGGACTGGCTTCATTAGAGCAGGAAAATCCACCCTGCCGCCGCTACCTCTCACCACTCTGAGCATTAATAATATAAGTAGGTGCTTTCAGTTTCTGTCTCTCACATGCAGGATTGACCATGTGCTTGAGCATTAGATCCAGTTTCCCTTGCAGGACTGAGTGGGTCAGATTTCATTCACAGCCCTTGTCTGAGATATCTCAAGGGAGTTCTTACCTGGCCAAGAAATAGGCCACTCGTAAGGCCTGGCATGTGACCTGGACCAAGGTAATTCTGCAGCTTCGTTATTCCAAGTTGTCGCGTTGTCCCATTAACTCCATTCTCTCTTCATAGCTGCAATAAGGCTCTCATCTTTATGCAAAAGAGGCCAAGAGAAGCTGCACACCAGCAGTAGCAGCACTGGGCTGTGGTTTGCAGCCACGAGATCAGTATGGTCACTGTGGGCTTCGCAGCTCTGCTTCCGTCTTTCAGTTTTCCGTGTGCAAATGCAGGACGGAGCAGCTGGCAGTGCCGCAGGCTGGAAGGAAACGCAGGGCACCCCTTGGAACAGCTGAGCTCTCAGTGCCTTCTCCTGACCCGCTGGACGTGTTGATGCTTTGCATTTGGCGCCTAAGAGATGCTCGGTCCCTTCAGCTTCCCCGTGGCCTTGGACAGCCGTTTGTCCCCGTGTGTGACCGGGTTGCAGGGGCTTCACCTGCAGCAACGTTTCCAAAGTCGGGTCTGCCACATGGCACCAGGGTCTGCTCAGCCGGCCTGAGACGGGAGCTTGGGACTCCACGTGTTTACAAAGGAGAGACCTGCTCAGAGCAAGCGACAGTCCACATAGCGCAAGGGGACAGCTCTTCACTATTGGTTAATGTTACTGCAAGGTATCACATATGTGACATATGCCATTAAATCCGCATCAGGCAGCCATAAGCGCAGCACAAGTTTTTTACTATATGCTATGGGCATCTCTGGTCTCTGCAGAGCACCTCCCAGCACATAAACTAAAGGAAAGCCCCTGGACCCTCACGGTGGAGTTCAGCACCCCTTGAAAGGGCTGCCTGGTGCATCAAAAACATATACATATTTGTATATATAAATATTTACATATCTGTGCATGTTTGTGTATACATACACACACCACATATACACACAGACACGACTGAAAACTTCCGTGTCCGACCACACCGCCCAGTGCTGAAAAAGCAGCAGCAGCACCGAGGCGCTGTGAGGGGCAGCCGGGGAGGCAAACACACCGCTCTGAGGAAGTTAACAACAGCTCATAATCAGATTAGTGATGTTTAATCTTATCTTGATTAACAGGACATGCGGGGAGATTACACTAAATCCTTGTACCCGCCAGCCATAGTGGAAGCCTATCTGAAGTGTGTACTATCAAAATGCTCTGCTAGTGCAATTCAAGTCTCAAAAAAACTCACCCTGGGATGTCATTAGGTGGCCCTTGCTGTTACAGCATGCTTAGTTTTAGCACCCACTTTATTTATGCTGATTTACCTGTCTTTAAGCGCTTTGTTTAATAGGAGCCAAAAGCGCTACATGTAGCATTGAGCAGGAAGGACGAACCTTAGCATCTGGAATTTGCTTCTGCACCAAGAATTCGAGTTAATTTCCTAACCCTGACAAGTGAGAAAGAAATGTAAGCTTTTCAGGGGCCCTTTTGCAGATGTTAGCAGAGCTTTCAAAACGACTGATGCCACAGATAGGGATTTCAGAGTATCTGATGAACATAAATTTCCTTTGAAAGACGAGTTGTGATCACGAAGAAAAATACAACACTACACCCCTTTGCACGTTCTAGTGTGGCTCTGTGCGTTTCATTTTTGACGACTGCATATATCTGTGACCAAATATGTCTGTGTGAATATTACACACAGTAATGGGGAAATTCCCATTGACTGTCTAGCTACCAAACATATTAATGAAATTAGCTGCAAGCTGCAATGGTTAATTAGCAGACACAGGAGATCACAGGGCACATTTTTGAGATGGATTATCCAACACGACATAAGTTGTTTTAATGAATATCTGAAGTTAAAAAACGCTTTTAGGACATGGTTCTCATCTCACGCACATGGGTATAATGAGGGAATAATTCTCTTTGAGCAAATGTCTTCGCTGGGATGAGCTCAAGTTCAAGGCTTTAGCCTCGATCCAGCTCTGATTGCTATCAATGCCAAGTCTTCCATTGACCTTTAATGAACAACACACAAACACAAAAATCCATGTGGCATAGATACAAATTATATACATTTATTTTAATCCATTTTAAATAACATTCTTCTGTATAAATTCTGACATATATTCAAATCATACACTTTTTTTTTTTTTAGAAATGCATTTGTAAGCAAAGCATATGCTTAGGAGACGCCTTATTTGGATGTGTAGCAAGACTGATGGGTTTCAATTGGGAGTAAGAACATTTTTAAGGCCCACATTTTTCTTATTTTAATCTATTTCTCTGACACATAAATAGCAGAGTACTGTGGGAGCTCATTTTAAAACTTTCATTTTAAAGAGAAATTTATTTTTAGGATTCAATTTTATATCCTTTATTTAAGGAGACTGCAGAAACTTTCTGCCACATATACATTGCATGTAACATTTGGGATAATGCAGTGTATGAGTGGTTAACTGGCCCAGGCTGCTCGGAGGATGCAGAACACATCCCTTCCTATTTCATTAATAGCTTCCAGTGTGCTAAGTTTGTTCAGCCTGATCCAAGGGAATCACCATTCCAAAGGGTGACATCTCACGCCAGCTCCCCAGGGCCAGTGCTCCACGCGGTTATTTCTAGCTACAGTGATTTCTAAGATTTTAAATCATCTCCTTGCATTAACCCAATGATATTCGTGTTGCACGCTGTCCTCCCAACTGCTCCCCTCAGCCGCGGGCCAGCCAGGCTGCCCCGTGCCTTTGCCACATCCTTGCCTTTGGCCCTGTGTCCGTCACCCCTTTGCCTTCGGCTGTTGGACTGTGGAATTTAACTCACCCCATGCAGACCAGGTGGATCTGCACAACACCCTTCACCTTAAGGATGGTGCCTTGCAAGCTGGTCTCCCACTCTCATGCCACCCTAACGTGCCCCATCCCACCTTCTCTATGCAGGTGGCTGCAGCCACCGTGCCCTGTCACTGAGCACCTCGACCAGGACAGTCACTGCCCATGGCCACAGCCTTTGGTACCCTGGCCCCAAGCCCATCAAAGTGTGATTTTAGCCCAAGCTGATGAGGAGACAGAACCAGCTCAGCAGCTTCCTCGCTCCCTGGGATGGTTGCATGGTGGATGGAAGGAGCAGGGTTTCATCTCAGATCACCAGGCAAGGTCAAAGCTGCTTATTCTCTCCTTGCTGAGGCATTCGTCCCCTCTTGCAAGTGTTCTTTGAGCAAAAGGCCTGGGTGGCTGCAGATGCTTGTGCTTTTCTGGCTGAGTCATGTTGCCATCTGCAAGGATTGTCCCAGCGCTGTATCCTGGCAAGAGCTCGAGCGCCTGCTGAAGAACATCCTGCACCTTCTCCTGCTGTGCAGATCAGGGCAGCCTGGGCCTGTCCAGGCTTTCCATCATCCCGACCTTCCTCCAGACGTGCAGCCAGACAAGGGCCTTCCAGCCCTTCCTTGCAGACTGAGTGCAAGGCCACACGTATCCCTAAGCGAGCACTGCCAAACAATTACATCTCTTAGAAAATTCTTTATACTGTCATCAGTCTGCTCTGTGAAAGCTTGATGAGTAACTCAAATAGCAAAACCCCAGTTCTCTCCCAATTCTCTCCTCCATTCCTCTCCCACTGCATAACCAAAACGAACGTTGCTCTGAAGAACTTCAGCCCTACCTGCAACCACGGGACCGACCCAAGGCCATAGCGAGCAGTGCGACTCTTTCCACTGGGTCTAGCAGCATTTGTGGCCTATGTGCAATATCACATCCTGTTCTCACCGTCTCCCCTGCCCTTCGTCAGCAATTTTCCTTCTCAGTTGCTGTGCCTCCTCTTTAGATCAGGTAGCAACTTCTCTGAGGCAGAATTGGTATCTTCTGCATGTGCTTACAGCACTTATTCCCCTTTCCCCCAAAGTCTCCCATCATAAGAAATGCCTCCACGCAGCACTAGAAAGGAAATAAATAATCACCACATTCTTCCTACTGTTTCTTATCTTCCTCTTGAGAAGAATTTACTCGTGCCAAGCTCTGAGGATGCAGCCGTCAGCTCCTGCTGACCTTTAGCAGGTGCTTCATTCGTCCCCAGCATTAATCCCTCACGAAGCACCAACACGTGCAGCAACACAGCTTTAGTTCTGAGGTCAAGTCATGAGTTAGGCAAAGGATTTGTTTCACACCCTGCTTATTTGTAAGGGGACGAGGTACCTGGGACTGGCTCTTGGAGCCTCCCCAGCACAGGAAGGCAACAGCACCCGCTCCGAGGCCCAAAAGCACCTTCCCTTGTGCTCTGTTGCCTTTAGCTCTTCTCCCTTTGCTAACAGCCCACCGGCCTCACTCTGAAGTTGGGGGATTTTATAAAACCTATAGCCCCTAGTATGTCCCTGACAGCTGATTTTGACCATGTCTAATTTTTTTTGACACTGTCTTGTGCTACATGAAGTTTTTAAGCATAAATTTCCTCATGGCATCCACGCACTTGTAGCTTGCAAGCTTAGCAATCTGAAAGCAGAGCTGTGCTCCTGTGCTCCTCTGCGAGCTGAGCTCTGAAACCCCAGTTCCACCAAAACACAGGAGGTTTCTGCCTTTGCAAAAAGTTTTGCCACGAGGCCACACTAAACCCTCCAGCAAGTCCCCCGTCACCATGTAAGTGCAGAAGAGGTGGCAGTGACATTCAGTCGTGTCAGGAGCAGCTGCTTCGGAAAAGCCCGGGCATCAAGATCAGGACCTCAACAATAACAACGAATTCGTGACAGCTTATTTCCATTTTTAAGATTTAAAGCAAACAACAGAACAGTACATCTGATTTTTGGACACCTACTAGGGCCTCGTCACAGCGAGGCTGGCTATTTACTGCCTATTTAAAGGAACGAGGAAAGTTGACAGATGCAAGTAGGGAGCACTCACATTTTCTCTAAAAAAGAATATTATTCAGTGACACGAGAAGAAAAGCTTCAAGCAGTGGGTGTTTGCCAGAGTCCCAGCTCCAACAATATTGCCATCTAATTTACAGTATTTTAAACAATCCTCATTTTTTTCCTTTTTAAACAACGCCGCTAACCGCTGTACAATTAAAATCTAGATGATAAAATATGACTCGGGGAATAGGGAGTTGGAGGGGGGCATGATTCTGTGTTTGGGTTTTTTTGGTTGGTTGTCCTTTTTTTTTTTTTTACAAATAATTACAAATACAATTCCAAGAAGATATATTACATTCTATATACAGAACACACCATTTCTATCAGGGTAGGATATTAAGCCTAGCTTTTACTTTTACATGGCAACCCTGAGATGTCTTGTCATCTTTCTTGCACAGAAACTATACAAGCTCATCAACCCCTACTTGAAAAAAAAAAATGTCTTCCTATGTTTTAATACCATTATCACCCTGTCAAAGTAGTCAGAAAGGGGAAAGCACAGCCTCCTCCCTAACTCCGTTATTTCCATGGTATTTTTTTCCTGTTTCCTAGCTTAGTGGAAACTGATAGTGGTGACTTGTGTTCAAGTGTGTGACTTACTCCTCTACTTGCCTCTTGGTAGTACAGCGAACACTGGTTTCCCCACTTTTTCTTTCTTTCTTTCTTCCCTCCTACTTCTTCAATTCATATCAGGACCTAATATGAAGTCTTCACAAAATTCTGTTTCCTTAAAATCCACTGTTAATTCACCAACTACTTTTCAAAATAAAGGCTTGAGCCTAGATGACCTCTAGAGGTCCCTTCCAACCTCAACCATTCTGTGATTCTGTGATTCCGTGATGCAGGCATATGTGTTAGGTTGGCTGGAAGTCAGATGGCTTCATGGGGTATTGCTTTTTCCACCCCACCACCTCTTCATAAAAAAGGTATTTTAAGATCAGTGTAATTTTGAATCCTTAACAACAGTGAACCCTATGGATCTTTAAGGAGAACAAGAAACTGAATGCACTTCACCACACTACCTGAAATTCAGATGTACTACACGTTTCTTCTGTTCACCTGCAAGCTACAGCATGCCCAGCATAAGAGTATCTGAAGAGCAAAATCCTTTGCTTGGAGCCTTGGCACGGATCCCGATACCCCTTCAACAAGCCCTGCAATTTTTTAAGCCAACTTTGGAACATCTGGATTGCTTCTTCATTAAGCTTTGTAGTTATGCATGGGAGTTGTCAGTGTTAGCTGTCCGTTTGGTGCCACTTCATTCCCATCATCTTCCAACAGGCCTGACACATCAGCGTTGGGGATGCTGTCATGGTAACTGCTAAAACTGATGTTGTCCTCCTTGAGTTCAATGGTCCAAAAAGGAGCGTTGAGTTTTCGGTTTTGATACTCACGGTACATGTAGACTGCTCCCACAAAGCCCATTAGTAGGACAACAACTATGATAATAACTGTCAAAATAATTATGTTAAACTGAGTCCATGAAACATCTGCAAAAGCAGAAGTACTATTGTCAGAGGAACTTACAGGAAGGATAGTCTGTAGAGTTGTTGGGGACAACGTACTGTTTATCACTACAGTTGAAAATGATGTTGCCCTGCTGACGTTCGGAGCAGATGTGATAAACTCTGTTGTTCCCGGGCCAAGCGTGACTTCTGCAAAACAAACAAACAGACAACATTATCAGGGAAAAACAGTGAGCTAGAACAGAACACAGAAATATGAGACTTGGTGCTTATATCTCAGTTGTTATGGCAATTAAGCCTACACTGTTGAAGGCAGATTTTTCTGAAAATAACTTTAAAAAATAGTTAGCTTTTTTTCTCTTTTTTTTTTTTTTCCTTCTTCTCTTTTTTTCCCCCCAGGCTAAGTGCTTGCTGACTGCAGGGCTCCTATGAAAACCTAGTGAAGGAGAGATAAGGGAATTGTCCAAAATCCAGAGGTGGATGGACAGGCGCACTAGCCAAGGTTCAGAGATGGATACAGGAGCTCACAACAAATGCTAGTCACTCAGTCCAGCCTCTATTCAGCACATGAAAACTGGGCTCCACAGGCTCAGCAAGAGTTTGGATTTTGGGTCTAATGAAGCCAGGGCTTTGCTCGCTGTCTACATGTCTACGTGGGCTGCAGCCCATGCAACACCTCCAGACATGGGACTGCAGCCACAACACAGGGTTGTTTCCGTCTTACCTGCACAAGAAGGTCAAAAGCCAAGTTACAAACAATTAACCGTTAGCCTTCTGCCACCAGTGTTTATTATTAGCTTTCACTATTCACACTGCTGTAGCATGAAGGGCAAAATAATCTCTGTTCTGCTTTCAAATGAAGTCACGCATGAAAGGCCCCAAGTCTACACAACCAGAGGCAGAAGGCAGCTGAATCACGGCAAAAAAACACCATGGTTGTTGTTCGCATGGAACATTTGAGAAGGGCAGAAGCTGGACTGGCTGCTGTTTTGGTTTCAGCAGATGCCGCCCGTCTGCACACAGGGATGAGAACATTGGAGTTGCCAGACTGCAGCACCAGCTCCTCCTCCTCCTCCTGCAACCTGGTCCCCACTGCAGTATAGCCAAGAACCTCCCTCCCTGCCCCAGACAGGGGTAACTTGCTTCTCAGACCTAAGAGACAGCGACTAGTTACCCATGGGATCCCAGATGCTTCCAAAGCACCTCTATAGGATTTTGACTAACCCTTCCTCAAACTTACCGAGCTCAAGGCCTCAAAAAACTGAATATTTTCAAACATACACTTAAAATACAGCTTTTCCTTTACAGAAATAACCGGATCTATTTTAGATTTTCAATTACTGCAGCAGGAACCCTCTGGAAGTTGAATCCACAATCGACCATTGTGTACTCGATACCCCATATTCCACACAACTCTCAGTACCACCTTTCCTACTCTCCTGCATTTCCTGTTCTGCTATCAGAAATGCACCTTCATTTTAGACCCCCTTACAGCTGCAGCAATTACAGCTGATGGTGTCAACTGATCCAGCTCTCCTGGAGAGAACAATTAGGATCAAAGAAAAGAGTCACTTCTGGAGGACTTGTTTGGCAGAGCTGCATCTCCAGTGGCAACAGGCGCTGAGAACACCCCTAGGTCCTCACAGGGAACTCACACAGGTTAGTTTTGGGTTCCCAGCTCAGGCAATGGAGACAGCAGCTCCTCTGGAGGAGGCCTCAAACACCCAATTAAGGTTCCTGCTCCAAGTCCCTCCCTGGAGCAACTTCTCTCTTCTCCGCATAGCCTGAACTAGGCTGATAAGGATGCTCGGGATGCTGAGTGCCAGAAGGCATTTCTCTGTGGGATAACAGGCAGAATTTAACAGTATGAAGCAGTGTGACAGGAGCAAAAGTTTCCTGGATATCACACTTGGAGAAGGGCATGAGGAATTCAGTCATCCTTTCCAAATTCCTTCATCAGTGCTGAATTTCTGGCAAACTCTACCAGTAGCTATAATTAGAAAAAAAATAGAACAGACACAATGCCTGATTCACCAGCAAGGAAACAGGACTGTTCTGGGCTTTATTATGAGTCAGCACCAGCGAAGCTCTGGCAAAGGGAACATGGGTTAAAACATTTCCTGGAATGGAGCATAGTGTCACGGGGAGGCAGTGACGCATCCCGCCTGCAGCCCATCGCTTTTGTGCCGTGATATAATGATGCCTATTGCTACTCACCAGGGCCCTGCCAGCCCTCCAGATGTCCCAGAACAGCTCCTTGAGTGCGGCAGCTGCTCCCTCAATGGCTGCTTTGGCAGCATCTCCAGCTGCTTGATTAAATCCGAGTTCCTGTATCGCTTCTTCTATCTCATGTAATGAATGAGCACTGGTGGGAGCCAGGCTCCCTCCCTGCGGGGTGGCACCGTGCCAGCCTGCACCACTACGTCCATCTCCGCTAGGCCTCAGCAGTGAGGTGGGAATAACATCCAGCCAGGGTCAGAAACACTGACTGGGCCCATCCTGCAGCTCTGCTGAGCATTGTGCCAACCAGCCTTGGAAGCATCAAAATCTCAGGCAGCTTTATCCACCAGTCCTGTGGATAGCTGAGCCTAGCTTTAACTTTGCCTGGGCTATAAAACATGACTAAAACTGGAGTTTGGAACCCTGACCTTTCCATGGGCAGGGCTTGTAATGATCTCACTCTAGAAGCCGCTTTAGGCTACTCATATGCACTACTGTTTTATGACAATCTTAACCTAAAATGAATATACAGTACATCAGCATCTGACTTTTTAGACAAACCACGTCTAAGAAACTGGAAAGAAACCATGAGCCTTTCTATTTACCTAATAAGAAGAAAAAGCAGGTGTCAAGGAAAAAAGAACTCTAGATAAGCACAGGGTCCGGTCTGTATGAAGGAGGAGAGAGTCTTTTCCCATATCAGGAAGTGGCTACAACAACATCCTTAAAATAAAACAAGTGAAAACTTGTTTCACATAGGCTGTGCATATGGATTTTAACGGAGCCAGGTCATATTGTTCTTTGCTCAAAGACAAGGCTGAAGAAGAGGGTAATGGATAAGCCCTAGTAAAAATGCCACTTCCAGCCCTGTAGCTGTAAAGTTACAGCTAATGAGCATTCAGCTTTTTGTGTATTGACCATCTCCCTGCACAGAGAAGGGCTCTGTGATTGCGCCTTTGGAGAGCAGGATAGGAGTGAAAATCACATTAGCTCCTAATGGAAGATCAGAATGAAATCTCTGCTGGTGACAAGGATGAATTTGGGCCCAATTTTCCCTCAGTTCTGCATTCTCTAACCTAATACCCAGCAATGCCCACAATGTTCCTGTACATGGAGCTGGAGATCCACCCTGTGGAACAGGTTCCTGCTAACCGTGGAAGTGACCCTATAAGACCCGTTTTCTATTTTCTCCCATTTCATTATGAGTCACCCTGCTGTACATTGGATGCCCTAAACATCAGAGGTAGCTTGCACCTGAGAACCCAACACGCCGTGTATCAGGTGTGACTTGAGGACTGATGAGCGGCTCCCAGAGCAGGTGCTGACCTGCTGCACTTGCATCTCACCTCTCTGAGCCTTGGCTTCCCCATTTAGAAAGCAAAACTGAAACTACCTAAGCTTGTTCCTACTCGTTGGTTATTGCTTGCACAGTGTCAGAAAGACATACCTTATTAAAAACATCCTTTCTAGGGACCTAGACAGTGCTATTGAATGGACTTGTCACTAAGTACAATTCACTGGGGAGAGACCAGTGAGACCAGACAGACCAAATATTTCAAGCAACAGAAATCTATTTTTAAATTTATAGCAAATACTTTTTTTGTTTTTCAGCTCATTCCCCAGAGCTGGCTGCCACAGTTTGGAAAAAAGCGTAGTTACCGAGCTGGCTCTCTCGAACACAGATTTCAAGGCACCAACATATCATTAGGGTCTGGTTTTGCTTCCTGCACCACAGGCCAAACAAACAGAAAACCTCTATGTGCCAGTGTGAAAAAGTTCTTCAAAAGAAAGGACGTATTTTGGGTATTTTCCCATGTCAAGACAGTGAAGATCTCTTCACAGTGCACTGTCCTGACCTGTATAAGAACCTGCCTGTCAAGAGGGATTCGCCAAGGGCAAACAGCATGTTGGAAATATTGCTGCTGCTCACTTCAATGTAGGCCATGCTCAGCTTCTCGTAACAGAAGACAAAGCTTTACAAGTAGAAGAAATTGCCTAGGGGAAGTCTTTCCTGAGCACCATATTGAACTGGCGCTTTCCAAGGACTAAGGCTCTCTCTTTACCTTGGCAGACTTTAAAGCTGCTTCCCCTTCAGCTGCAAAATACAATTCCCCATATTCCTCCCCCAGCCCCCAGGCAGCTCGTGCCCATCTGATCCACGCAGCAAGCCACCAGGCTGCTTTGGATGATCTTGAAGGTCTTTTCCAACCACAGGGATTCTCTGGAGAGCATCGTTACCGTTCTTGGTGCAGTTGGTGCCCGCGGGGTCCCTGCTGTAGCCCTCCTGGCACTGGTCGCAGTGGAAGCCGGCGGTGTGGGACAGGCCGCCCACACCAACACGCCCCTCGGGCTCGCACACGCGGGGCGTCCGCGCCGGGTCCACGTTCCCGTTGCAGCTGCATCTCACGCAGATGCTGTCCGAGTTGTAGTAGCCGTCGTCGCACCGGTTGCAGTTGGGGCCCGTGTACCCAGCTTTGCATTTGTCACATGTCGGGGCAGCGTCACCGGCTCCTAAACAGCACAGGAAACACAACGGGCACCACTCACATCCCCTCGCAATTAAAAAAAAAAAAAAAAGCTGCAGGACTTGCTCTGTGACCATGAGTCAGTATGACAAAATCAGCCACCACGGGGTATTAATTAAGCTAGAAGATTAATCTGAAAATATAGATCTTTAGACAGCAGTATTTACCATTTCTGGGGAAAAAGAAAAGATTTGGCAGTTTCTAATTCCTAGTACCAGCATCACAGAGCACGCTTAGCACGTTGCTATGCAAACAGATTATTACTGCAGAACATTTGTATCTCAAACAGCCAATTTTTGGCAAACAGCTGCCCCAAGACCAAGGATGTCAGAAACCTACAAAAACTTTACGGACTACATGAAGCCAGAGGATGCTCAATTGCAAAACTGATTGGGAGGTTATTTATATATATAAGAAAAAACCCACTTCCATATATTTATTCCAGATATAATTTCTCTTCTTGGTAATACCAAAGCACAGCTGGAGGAAGGGTTGGATCCCTGTTGGAGTCCCATGCAGATGTTCAGAGGCCTCACGGAGGCACAAAAGGCTCCGTGTGTGGAGCTGCTGGGCATCTCCTGAACCTCCTCATTGCTGCCAGTGCAGCAAAACTTCTGCAGAAGTGACAGATCTGCCTCAGCAAGGGGCAATGGCCTTTGGGGAGGCCCTCGTGCTGCTCCCCGCTGCAGCAGCACCAGTAAAGCACTACGAAAGCACTACACGCTCCTCGTGGCACGCGCTGCTTCCAGCAACATGCTCCAGTGCCCACGAAAAGCAGATTCACGGGCTGTGGATGGACTCACTAGGATGAGCCACCCTGGAGAGAACGTACTTTTGAAACGCATTGAAAGGAGCTACTTTAATTAGGGCAAGAGCTGAAGCAAACCGAGAGCCTTACTTATGTGGCAGGTGCCGGTGGAGGCCACGGTGGAGCAGGGGCAGCGGCGGCAGGCCGGGCCGGGCCGCGCGCTGCGGTAGAAGCCCTCCTTGCAGCGCTCGCAGTGCTCTCCCTCCGTGTTGTCCTGGCAGTCCAGGCAGGCGCCTAGGAAAGAGCACAGGGACACAGAGCACAGGGACACGGAGCACACGGACACGGAGCACAGGGATCCACTGGGCGGCAGTAACTGGAGCAGAACATTTGGAGCAGGAACACACCTGCAGCGCTCTCAATTAGCAGAGCTCACTGGTGATCTTGGAAGCCCCCTGGCTAAGACACAATGCTGGCAGCAGTCCTGGCCTCTTATGACCTTCTGCTGGTTGCCCCAACACCACCTCCCCATGCACATGCAATGTGGAAAAGCAGTTAGCCCCAGCAGCAACACGCACAGCCCCTCGCTTTACAGGCCAGCACAAGCAAATACTTTTTATCAGCATTAAGCTGTGCTCAAATAAAAGGGTTCAAGTTTTCGTGCTGGTGAAAGGGGATCCTGATCGCTTCAAGCGCAGGTTGACATCGGAGCCCCGGTTTCTCCCCTGCATCCGTCCCCACAGTGCAGCGCACGCTGCTCAAGTGGCAGCCCCTGCACCGCTGCATGGAGCCTTCACACCCTGTGGAGCTGCAGCTCTGAACCCTGCACCAGAGCAAGGCTGGAGAGCGCTCAAAACGAGGAGAAAACAGAGCTGCTTCCTTCAAACAGCACAGGCTGGGGAACAGCTTATAACCACCCAGCACGCAAGCGGTGGAAACGCTCTGCATCCCTTTTTGTGGGCAGACCTGGCCGTCACGGGGAGGTCAATGTCACCGTGCTGCTCCCTCCCGCAGCGCAGGGCTCCAGCCCCGCAGTGCCCGCGGACGAGCGCTGACCTTCCCGGAGAAGCGGAGGGGAAGGGGGCTCCCCGCGAGCCACGTCCCCTTCCCAGGGAAGCCGCTGAATCACAAAACCGACGGGCTGTGTCTTAGCAGCGGCTGCGTCCTAATGGCTCTCTAAATTGCTTTTTGATATTATTGTGAGCCAAGAAAGAACAACCTCCACCGGCTGCTGCCCAAGGCTCATCCATCACGAGGAACATCCCGTAATTCAGCTGCCTCTTCGCCGAGGTGGCCATGACCTGGGGGAAGCTTACTTGATTAAACCCCGAGTACAAGGCTCTGAGAAGGCAACAGCAGCCCCCTTATAACAAACTAAGGTGGTAACGAGCAACTTATTGACTGTCCAAGCCCGGAGAGGAGAAGCGCAGAGCTGGGCCGGCAGTGCTACAGCACGTGGGAAAGTCTCCTACCAATATCAGCCACACGTATGAAATCCTGAGCTGGGTTAATGCAGAGGATGTTAAATAAACCCAGCAGGTTTCCTCCTTCGTGCAGGGAGCATCCAGCACAGCGCAGAGCTCCCGCTCGGCTTTCTGGTGAGCCCTGCACCTCCTCGGTGCCCACGGAGGAGGGAAAACCCTGGCAGCAGCAGGAAAAATGATCCCAACTGCCCCATTTCCAGCCCAGTCATTTTAACCGTTCCTCCTGGACAGATGGACAGCCGAGGGAGACGGTCACGAAGCCGCCAGAGGGAGCCCCGAGTACAGTATTAAATGCAAAGGAAACCTGGAAAATTTGACAAAGGCGGCACTGACCTGGGGAGGTCGCGCACAGCGCGGGCTCCAGCTCAGGCAAGAGCCCCGGGCTGCTCTTTAGGCATCAGTTCTGATTGTTACTGACTCTTTCCTCTGGATTTTTTTTTCTTTTTTCTCCCCCCACTTTCTCTGGTAGCAACAGAACAGATGGAGGAAAAGGGTGGAGGAAGAAAATATAATAATAAAAAAGAGATTTTTTCTCAAATCAACAATAGGTCATTAACCGGAAAGGGATTTGGCGGATGGTCGCAGCAGAAGGGCTGCCTGAACAGCCCCATTGCGGAGGCAAGGTCTTGGCTGGTATTTTATCAGGAGAGGGAGGAAGATTGAGGGAGACGAGGGAAGAGCAGATTATCTTCTACCTTCACAAAAACCCACACACTCAGCTCCAAACCAACCGAACAGTTGCTGTGCACACAGCTTCAGGCACAAGCTCCTCTCCCTTGGCAGCAGTGGGAAGGAATCACCTACACCAAATTCAGCACAAGAATAAATGCCATAATCCATCCTCGAGGAGAGCAGTTCTGCTGCCTGCCCAGATGTGCCCCGAAATGTGCCCAGCTGGGCACCACTGGGGCATTTGCTGGGCAAAAAGCCCTGGCTGCGGCGCCCCTGCTGCAAGCGCGCACGGTAGTGCAGAGCTCGCCCAGAAATAGCATGTGCCATCAGCTCCGCCTCTCCTCCAGGCATGGAAACAGCCTGAGAGATACTTGAAATTATTACTTCTTTCTAAGCTGCTGGAGAAAATAGTAGAGAATTGCGTTTCACCCGCTACGCTTGCAGAATGTGAGTTTTCAAGCGAGAGTTTCGCTGCTACGCGGGGATGGGTCGCTCCTCGGGGGTTTCTCCAATCCATGGGGAGGGAAAAGGAATTCTGCTCTCTCCCCGCAAGCAAACAGAGCAGAGGCCCTTCCACATCCCTCCCTTGACGCCTGCACGAGCAAAAACCCGCTGAGGAACCCTTCAAGGCAGCAAATGGTGCAAACTTATAAGCAGCAGGTGACAGTGCTGAGGTCCTGGCACGGTCCCAAGGCGGGGGCTGTTACCTGTCACCGCGTGGCAGCTCCGGGAGCGGTTGTTGCACTCGCAGGGCTCGCAGGTGCTGGCGTTGAACCCGTAGTACCCGTCGGCGCAGCGGTCGCACTTGGGGCCCGTCACGCCGGCTTTGCACTGGCACTTCCCATCCCTGCACAGGGACGAGACACAGGGTGAAACGGGGCATCCAGAGCAAACGGCTGCTGCCACTGCTCCCCACGGAGCCGTTTGCTGGGAAGCGCCCGGGTAGCGACTCCCCAAAAGCCACCGGCACCCACGGGGACTGAGACGCTGCCCGTTAAGCACCAGCCGCCCTCTCAGCATCCCTAAGTTGGGGCTTATGACCCTATTGCTTTCCTAAGGAGCTTTAAACACCAGCAGTATTTATGCCTGATTCTCCAGGAAACCACGGGGATGGATAAAACACTCTTTTCCATCCACTCTACAGCACTTCCCTAGCAAAGGTCCCCCTGGCACAACCAACCAGCCAGGGGAGACATAGAAAGACAGGCAGAGTAAAGCCACCACCCCAGCCTAACCCCACGCGCCTTTTAAATCCACTGTTTTATATCTATTTGTTAATTTATATATGTATGTGTGTGTATATATACGTACACTTGCACACATACACATTATATATATGTATATATACACGTATATACATACATATATATATATATATATCAGTGTGTGGTGCATGAGCACGATGCATCGTTCCATGCTGCTCCTCCCAGGAGAGCAGGCAGCTCCCCTGCACTTCCCAAAGCCCCTAGCAAAATCTGCTGATTAAAACTAACAGAGGCTGAGGCTCCAAATGGCTCCACGCACAGTTTGTGTGTTGGCTTTAATTAATATGCAGTAGTTTGCCACGACTGGGGAAGCAATCGCTGCTGTTAAAAATTAGCATAATTTAGTATTTCTGTCGTTCGCCAGAGAAAGAGGAAACACTCCAAGGCACACCAGCACACACAACCCAGCCCAAGAGGCTACACAATTAAATGTGTTCAGAAGAACTTCAGGCATATTTTAAGGACTGATTGCAGGAATGAGAAAGAAATATGATGTTTCATTGCTCTCCAGACCTTTATCAGGCACTGCAGCAGGCAGACACAGAGTTTAAAGGGATGCTGTTAAGCGGCTCAACATGCTTGAGTCAAAAAAGCTTTTCACCAGACCTAACATTAATCAAAATGCTGTCACAGTATTTAAAGCTAGAGCAAGCAAAAGTCATTTTTGGTTTGATCCTGACTACCACGGGCCACGGAAAGATGGAGGAAGGGACAGATATTCCTGTAAGCAGGAGATGGGCAGAGCTAAGAAAGGCTAAACAACAAATCCCGCTGTATTTGGAGATGCTGCTCTTAGGGAGAGGGGGTATTTCCTGAGTGCGAACTTGGGGCACTATAAATAAAGCTCAGGTGAGGATTGCAATTCTACTTGCAGTTAATATTCAGAGAGAGAGCCTTATTTCCCCAGTGACTCTGCTTCAAGGCAGCATTTTAGGGCAGCATCCCTTGATTTTACTTGTTAGCTTAAAAATAACAGGAAAGAAAGCTATTAAAAAAAAAAAAAGGAATGGTTTTGGAAAGTTTGGCTTTAATGCCTCTCAAGCAGACCTTTTCTCAACATGTTACATATGGCACTGGGCCAAGTTCTGCATGTGCAAGAATTAAATCACTCAGCAAATATAAAGCTTTGCCTGTGGTCACTGTTTCTATAGAATAAAGCCCCCTTACAACATCCCTTTTCATAGCTCCAGCCCAGTAAAGACTGTCAGACACTTTTTGAAGCAAAGGTCAATGATATAAATGTGTGGAAACCACACACACAAAAAAAAGTCCCGTTAACAGACCGATTGTGCCCATAAAAATCCAGAAACTTGAAAGAAAAGACCCACAGTTTCATACTTGCGCAGCAAGAACTGAAGTGCATTTTGAGCATAAGCCAGGAATTTCATTTTGGGGGGAGGTGGGGAGAAGGGAGGAGGGAAACATTTTGATGCAGCAACCTCAATTGCTCAGCTCCATTTCTGATGGTCGTTAACTCCTCTGGAGCCAGGCGAGTTTTAGCTCTCGCGTTAGGAAGCGACGGGGCGATGTGCTGGGACACAAACAAGCTTCTGCTAACAGGAGTCTGCTGCCAGTCTCAGTTTCTATTCCATTTTATGAATACACTTACTTTTAAGACCGTGTAGGTAGTGTAGAGCACCATCACATCATCCAGCAACTTTATATACGTTTCCTAACTATTAAGAAAACCAACATGGAGAAAGGTCCTGGCAGAAGGACCAGGCAGCAACGAAGACCACGTGTGATGCTGGGATCCAGCGCTCAGATTCATCCAAACCCATGGGCAGGGAGGGCTGCAGGCCGGTTAGGACCCCAAAAGAGCTCAGGAATTCCCTTGCCTGGTGGGTCTTTGCCCTTGAAGACACTTTCTCACTGCCTCCAACCAGCACCTACTGTCAGGCAGAACAGGCACCGCCGGGGGCTGCGGATAAAGCACTTGCGGGGAGCACCCCCTGCTCCACATGAGGTGGGTAAAAGCCAACCTGCTTTCACTTCCACTCCCTGCAGCCACCTTTCATTCCACCAAAGGGGAAGTGGCCATAGGATGCAGGAAATCCCACGATTCTCAAAGCAATTCATGTCCTGAATGGCTGCAAAACGCTTCCCGCAGTGGGATTTTCCAGGGGAGGGCAGATTTGCAGCTACAAAAGTTGAGAGGAGACAGCCAAGAAACCCCCTCGGTGGAGGATCGCGGTGCCCTTGAACAACCCGACTTGCAAATCCCACGTGAAGACCAGGTGGCACCTCCACCACCCCGCCTCAACCCTGGCCTGGAGCATCATGTGGATAACTTTCCTGGAAGTCTGATGGGCAGGAAAGAAAACACCAATGCAGCAGGCTCTGCCTGGCAACTCAGCAGCACCCAGCAGCGGAGAAACCACAGGCTCCAATGCAAAAAAAAAAAAAAAAAAAAAAAAAGCATCAAAAAATCCATCTGGCTGAGCTGGAGCACAACGTGCAGCTGCATCCGTGCAGCAACACGACGGATCTCCCGTCCTCCTCTGCAGAAACATCCTTCAGCTTGAGGGGACATGATGGACAAGATGGATGGGAAGGACAACCACAGCCTTACGGCTGTTCGGAGACACGCTGTGCCTGGTATAACGGTGTAACAGAAAACCTCCAGCGAGCTCCAGTGGCTTGTTTTCTTTTCTTTCTCTTTTTTTTCTTCCAAGGAGGAAAGAAAGGAGAAATTAAGTTTGTAGTGTTTTCGCAGCTGGAGGAGAACCTGGATGCTCAGCTGCCATCAACGGGACAAGAGCTCCCATCAAACCACGGCTGGCCCAAACGTACAGCACGAGGCTTCTCCCAGCCCCTTTTCGTACCAGATCAGCTAGAATTTGTGCAAAGAAAAGGAGGGATACGGAGATTTGGGATTTGGATTCATCAGAGCAGGGCCTGGAGGTGTTCCTGTAACACGTACAATTAACAGCAACGACGGCGCCCGCATGAATGAGACGAACCGCGTGCTGAGCCCCGAACATCTGTAAAACAACCCGCATGAAAAGGCTTTGTCACACTTTGATGGGATAAGACAAAAGGATGCTGCAAAAGCCGAGGAGGATTTTAAAGACATGCCTCTAAAAACGGTACATCTTTTTCTAGAGAGCAAGGCTCCTTTGGTATGGATTTCCTCTGATGCCTGGCAGGACGCAGGAGCTGCAGGAAAGCGGCTCTCGGGTGTTTTCTGGCCTGGCTTTGTGGCCTCGCTCCCCCTCAAGCTGCCAGAAGCCAAAGCGCTTTCTAAGAAGCGTTAATTTAGCAGCCCCGGGCGGTGGGAGAAGCCCGAGGGCCGCGGCCCCGGCGAGAGCAGCTTGCGCGGAGGGCAGAAGAAGCCGGGCTTTATTGCGGCAAACATTGGGCCATTGTGCGGGACATTCCTGGCTTTGTGTGCCGGGGGGACACGATCTGCTCCGAGGGCAGCCCTCCACGGAGCCGGGGCACCTCGCAGCTCCCAGGGGCCATTCTGCAAATGTCAAAAGGCCACATGTCTGGGCAGCGCGGGCGCCTCCGCAGTCCTGTCCGCCCTGCCTCGCTGCTGCGTCCCCGTCCCGGAGCATCCCGGGGGGAACGGCGAGACAGGACAGCTAAATGCAAATGCATGAGAGCTAAAAAAGTCACCCCAGAAAATTCTTTAGAGGTCTAGTGGTGTTGCAGTGGAGCAACCGGTTTCATAGCCATAGAGACAATACAGTCCCGCTGAAGCTTGTTGGAGAAAAAAATAAAGTAAATCAGCAAAATAACAGGACTTCCGAGAAGCCACAGTTATGGGAGGGGAGATAACTCCCTCCTGGCACTGCCACTGCTCCCCGCGGGCCAGCGGGCACCACGGCGGGCAGGTGCAGCACTGAGCTGCTGCGGGGGAGATGCGATGAGCTAATGGTCTGGAAAGGAGAGGAGAAAACGGAAGGGATTTTTAGCTAATTAAGGCATGCAGAGAAATAGGGTTCAACAGGGTATTCGGCTGCTTTTGTGACATGCACATATAACAACATCTGCCACTCAAACATGCTGTCCCCTGCACAGCGACGCAGCCAAGGCATTGCTTGGAGGCAAGGAGCCACCACTTGTGCTCAAGCGATCTGTAAAAACGAGCAGAGCCTTTTTAAATAAGGGTGAAGAAGCAGCTTTTTCTTTTAAGGAGTCCCTGGGGAGCTGGGCAGCCCAGGTTCAGATCAGGGTGATCTAGAGCAGAGTGGGGGACTTAGTGACCTCCAAATGTCCCTTTAATTGGGCAGGAGAGCGCAAGCAGATTACTTCAATGTAAGGGACACGCTTGAAGGGCATCTTCTTTGCGCAGAAGGATGCTGGAGCTGTCTGTGTGACAGGAAGAGGCTCAGGGCTAACGCACATCCCAGCTGCATCCCTCCACTCCCACCCCGGCACTGCACCAGGTGGAGAGCTCGAGCCAAGGAACCTGCTCGCAAACCCCCCAAAAATAAATAAATAAAATGGAAAAATTAAAAAAAAAAGCAGCTTGCCAGCTGCAGCCTGCGCGCCCAGCGCATGAGTCACCGCCCGCACGTGACCTTGGCCCAGTCGCTCCGTACCTCGCTGCTCTCCTCCCCTCCGCTCCGGCCGC